CCCTCGTGCACAAAGAAAAAGGGAATTCCCACCCAAGGCAAGAAGCATGCTTGGACTGGCAAAGTGTATGTTCCAGTTTTCCAGGCAGTTCAACTTTAAATATACACAGGATGAACACAGAGGCAACATCAATTCCGAAGCCATCCCCTTGAGGCAGGCTTAAGTGCGGCTTCCCCATTCCTTTGGGAACCACTGTTCAACACCTGAAGGTGCAGTCTTAGGTAGGAGGCGTTTTCAAGTAAAGAACAAACTACTCTGGCATGTGAATCTGCTACCAGAGACACAAAATTAATTATTGTAATGTCTCAATGCCTACTTTGAAGACATGATTCTAGGTTTTACAAAAGAAGGGGTTGCCCTTCACAAAAACAAAAAATAAAACAAACCAAAAAAATAACAAGATAAGCTTCACTGCATTTCCCAGGAGATCTCTTCTTACCTCTGGGATTCTGCTCTTGCTCAAAGTCAAGACATGAATTCAGGGCTCCCAATCTGAGAGCCAGCCTGGCTCAGCTCCATCTCCAGCTGGTCTGACCCTGGAAATCCAGCTCAGTGAAATGGATTCAGACTGCCTTCATGGGAAAAGGTTCAACTGCTGCTATTCAAAGCCTCTGAGAAACACTGAGTGAAGTGGAATCGCACCTCCACAGTTGAGATTTATCTTTGTGGATTTATTTACACCTCAGAACCGCAGACACCTCAGCTCGCATCACTCCATATCCAGCTCTTAGCCAGGAGAGGTGGGGCCCGGCTGGCTGAGTGGTACAACTCAATTACTGGACCACACGGAAGGCCCCAGATACAAGACATGGCTCCTAGCACCTGTAGGCCTCTAGTTCCAGCTGCTTTTCTGGGCTCTGGCTAAACTAAATAGTGCATCTGTCTACTCGAGGCTCAGTTAGAGATCAGATTTCTCAATGGCTGGATATTTCAAAGAAACGGAAGGAAATACAGCCAATGCTCGCCTGGAAGAGCTCCAATTTTGAAAGGGGCCAGAGTTGAGTGCAAATTTTGGCTCTATCAGAAATTAGAGAAAACTAACACATAGCAGG